CGCTTCATTAAACCGCGGCGATCCGCGTCGATCAGTTCTTTTTTTTTTTATTCCGCACACCTGGTTATCGCACGTACACTCGTTAGCCGCGCGAACGATCGTTGACGGGTGTCCATGCTGCATAACGTGTTTTGTTCGACGACGCACGAATACGTCGTGAACGAATCAATCTGGAAATTCAGGCTGCTCTCATTTAACACTAGGTTTACGGGACACGTCGATTTGACGCATACTGAGTTTTATACACATTCGCTAAACGTTTACGTCGATTCTCATCGATGCCATTATACGTGTATGTATCCTGGTGGTCTATTTTTAAACCTCTAATTTCCAAGATCTATCGGGCCATCTCATAAATAATGCGGTTTTTTATGATTCTTTTATATTTAAAAACAAAGATAAACTAATTAATTTTTCTAATTTAAAGCATATTCTCCTTCATTATCTATAAATTGTCTATCTGTAAATTACTTGAAAAAAAGTTTTGTTTATCTGTATTTTAAAAATAAAGGAAATATAAGAAACAGCATTATTTCTGGGATAACCCACTAAATGAACGAATATCAATTTATCTAGGAACAATCAAATGAACCGTACAACAAATGTCCGTAAACCTAATGTCAAGAGAATATATTTGTAACGTCGTTGTCATTCATTTATAACAATGTTCATAATATTCATCTGCGAAACGTGTAACTTACACAACGATGCCTGCTTTTTGTTAGCGTTCACAAGTTCGGGACCGAATCGGGAACACTAACCGCGTATGGCTGTGGGAGACTGGTAACCGAACGTTTTGTCAGTGATCAATGATCTATCTTAACTCTGTCCGCCGTACTATACATGAGTTGTTCATTGGCCAAATCGATTAACTCCACTTCTTGAATTTATTAAGATTTCATCGTTAAAGCGCTTCATTTAACCTTTAATATTTAAAATAAATTTCCTTATTATTGGGTGTGCCATCATGAAATAACAAGAATTCTTTTGCCCGTGCAAAACTTGCAATAATAATAAAAATTACTTTGAAGTTATACTATTTTATACAATTTATATATACACCTATAATAATGAAGAAAAATACGTTTCATAATAATTATTCAATTTTCTATTTAAAGGAAAACTTTAAAAATCAGTGTATAGCTGTTGCATCAGTTTTCTCTATTTTTCCGTTTTGTTAAGTTAACCGGTTCGACTAATGAGTAGCTCGCATAAGCATAGTAATTTATTCGATTAGATGACCGCTAAGAGGAGCATCTCTGTTACACGTTCGCGAACGGAGAATTAAGAACATACGTATGATTCGCTGAAATTAAGATACTCTGTGTACATTAGAACTGTAATTTTAAGAACAAAAGTTTCAGACGTTTCGCGACGAAGAACTTTAACAAACATTCAAACGATCGATTTATCTATTCGTTCTAATACTTATCCGTCAATACACGGTTTTACCGTGATCGGAGGAACAGACTTCGTCGTCCCATTCTCGGTACGGAGACGTCTCGAATTTTTCAGTCTTCTAGTTTCGATGCTTCGAGGTTGTTCGAACGTAACGGAAATTCCGAATGATCGAACGTAAACTTCATTGAAATCTGCAACAACGTTTCTCCCATCGAAACGGGAACGAAACTCGAATGGTATCGTCGTTAGCTTCTTTCGTGTACAGACACCGCGTGTCGAATGATTAGAGGTTACGCCAACGAATCCACGCGTGTTTTTTGAATACGCGACCGACGTTGGTCGATCGGAGAACGAAAATCGTTTTCGATCCAGCGGAATTTCGACGTGACTCGCCATTCGAGGTGAAGATTTCGTTCGATCCTCGATTAACGTCGCGCGTACGCGAAGAGAAAAACAAAGAAGAACGTTTGACTTTTGAAAGAAAGCCACGACGAAACGAGACCGCTCGTTTGAAATCGAGGAAGCGATAGGGGACAATTACGAAACGCGTATGCTTGACGCTGAAACGGGGAATAGGATT